GCAGTGATAGCCATGCTAACTGTGTAGGGGCAGTGATGGTAATCTGGATGAACTGACTGCACAGACCATGTTTTCAGGAGGACTTTCTCACTTCAACATAGATTCTAACTACTTTCTACCCGCTGATCACAGCTAATATAGCCGCCATTGTTCCAGGCAGAGAAAGGATAGGGGAGCTCCGCCCACCACGCAGCTAGAGCAGCAAAGATGCTTCAGCCGCGCGTCAGAACTAAACTGGTACAAGCATCTAAAATGAAGCAGGACGCACGTTTTTGCTGCTCCTGCTGCTTTACGTCTGAACGTAGCATTAGAGGTACGGGGGGGGGGCAGGCTTAGGTTCAGACCCGGGTCAGGGTCACGTTCAGGGTCGGGTAGAATTGCTGTTTCTAAAATAAACCAGCAATCTATACAAACGTCTATCAAGGTTGGAATAAAAAGATGAGTGATTAAATATTAACACGGAGAATCAAAGCTGGTCGCTCATTTACACTTCAGGGTCTTCATGCTTAATCATTACCCACAATCCACCTGGGACCAAAATTACCAATCAGCAAGTGAAGTTTCAGCAAACCCCCGAGCTGAACACCTGTTCAGCACTTAAATTGGAAAAATGAGAGCTAGACAGGTACACACACACAGCCACACCGAGGGGCCTCCTCATCAATAATACATGGTGTGTGTGTGTGTGTGTGTGTGTGTGTGTGTGTGTGTGTCTAAGGAAGGTTTATATGAAGGTTGATTCTTTTGGACCTCCAGGATCTGATATCAAAGTTCTGCTCAGGCAGACAGAGCCGATCTGAGATGATTGGATCCCCATGAATCCCTGGATTCCTGGTTCCATCCTCATTCGGATCTGAACTAAACCAAACCACTGATCCAAAGACCCACAGAACCATGATAAGTATGCAAACCTTTACAGGAAGTCCTGGATAAAAAACAAGCTTCTCATTGATGATGTCAGTAGTTTTACCTCATGTGGTTCTGATGTTCTCCTGTGATGGATCTGCTGATCTAACCTACATGAAGCAAGAACACTATCAAGCCCAGATGGGTTCTAACCTGACTCCGCCAGATGGATTTGCTCCGCATATCCATCTGGAAACCTTCCGTTGAAGTAATTTT